GTGCAGTATTGCGAGGCATTTTCAGATCATCTGGTCGGAAGCATATATCTTACCATGAGTAAGATCCAGAGAGTTTCTATATTTTGGCCAAAGTTGTACAGCAAGTCATCCTCACCTGTAAGGCTCAGAAACACCTTGACCTCGTCACATCTGCAGACAGGCCTCTCCAGAACCAGGTCCTCCCTCCTATGTCTGCATTTTCCCCACGTCCCATGGCAGCACCCTGGCAGAGTGACGCCATCTCAACCTGTGTCATCGTCTGTGTCTCTTCCCTGCTCATGTTCTGTCTTGGAGCCGTGGTCCACTACAATGTCTGCTGTTTCTGCAGAGTCTCTCAAATAATTGTGTTCATGGGAACACCAACCGGAAGCCCACCACAGGGATACCTCTGACACTGACCGTCTCTGCACTGTGGATTTCAGCCCTGACACACCTGTGGCACCTGAGGCTTCATGTGTGTGTAACCTTAATTCACGTCCCACTAGACTGTAAGCTCCTTGGGCAGTGAGGGGCTCCTTGTTCCAGCTACAGTGTCGCAGGGCCTAGTATGGGTGGACACACCACACCTGCAAGCTGGAGAGGGAGGGAAGGAGCAGGAGGGGTTGCTCTGAGGGGTCGATGTGGACCATCTCACTGAATCCACACGACAGCCCTAGGTGAGTGCTAGGACCACCTCATGGGAGCATGCTGGGGCTGAAGGCGTCAGTACATTTGCCCACGTAGAGGTTTGGATCTTGACCCATCCAGCTGGGCTGTCTGAGCCTCCATCCATCTGGGTCATGCTGTGATGACACCTGGGTGTCAGCCTGCGAGGGAATGGGTGGGTGCCTCAGCCTGGCTGGAGAAGCTGAATATCACACATCCTCTAGCCTGGAGCCAGCAACTGCTTGGTGTTTGTCATTCCTCTGCCAGGGCAATGGTTCCAACCTCAGAGATGGTTCTGCAGAAAGGATCTGGGTGGAGAGAAGTGCCTCTGAGGGTTTAGGGGTGCGCTCTGCACCCACAGCAGGTGTGCACAGCCTCAGATGGACCATTAAAGTGTCTTGTTTACAAAGGGAAAATCATGGCTTTGGTTGCAGTGCCCGGAACCCAACTCCACTGGATCTCGGATTTGTGCATTTTACTGGATAATATGCTGCCCTCTGCACATGGGCAAAATCAGAAAACCTCAGCTTTACAGACTTACCAGCGTGGGACAGATGCCTGCATGTGCACACACACAGGCTCACTCACACACACGAATCATTAACAGATCAATTGGCCAGCTCAGAGGCTGGGGGAAGGGACAGAACCAGGAGAAGAGAGCTCAGGGGTGGGATGGTCACCACACTGAGGGGCAGAAGGCAGGGAGGGGCTGACCCTGGGCGTGAGGGCCCCCCGGCCAAGGTTATGGTGCCCAGATTTCAGGAGCACCTACCCTGGTTAAAGGTTGACCAAGACCAGGCCCCTTTCAACCTATACACTAGACCTGGAAAACTTCCCAAATCCATGGGTTACCTTAACGAGGCTTCTGTGATGCAGTAAGGCTGCCTCCCCGGCTGGCAACCGGCAGTGCTTGTGCACACCAATTAGTGCGTCCTCGGGGACGCCGCCTTTACCGGCAGGAAAACCGTGACTTGAGCTATCTTTACTAAAAGTATTAGAATTCACTTTTTGTTAAAGGTACAGAAATCATTCAGCCATAAGAATATCAAAGATATATTTAGCTAGTTTGCATTTGCTTTCGACCGATTCTAACAGAACTGATAGCCATTTGGAAGGCATGCAGCAGTCCTGAATAGAGTATTGTGTTGAATAAGCTTCAACACACCATCACCGCACAGTCTAAATGTGCCTTTTCTTCTTATTTCAAGTTGCAACAATACAGGCCTTGTTTCACATTTCTATTTTTAACTAATGAAAATTTATTACAGGGAAATCCTAATTATACCCTTTGGAGTACGATACAATTGGAAATCCACTGGTAATATTCTTTTCTCAAAATTCCATGTAATTGCATAAGAAGCAGAGAATGTAAATTCTCTTGGAATAGTTGGTCTATAAATACAATTCTCGAATGGGCTGAGCAATCTTTCTGTTTCTTTGCACATTTTGTATTCGTTGGGATTAATCCATATTACAGCCCCTGTGAGTGAAAACCCCTTGTTAGACATAAGGCGTTGTATATTCTCAGCACATCCTCAACATGGTACTAATGAATTTCCCAGGACCTTGGACAGACCATGAGGAAACATTTCTCACTTGGCAGGTGTTGGGAGGCCTGGACGGCCGGGTCTGGCCCCTAGATGACCACCTGTACCTTTTCCCGTCTGACCCCTTACTTCCTCTCCAAATGAGAAAAGTAGTGTAATCTTCACCTAGCATCCAAACCTCCTGGGGGAGGCCCACTTGGGCCACATGAGCCTGCATGGTGGGAGCTGTCCTGTGCATTGGAGGACACTTCACAGCATCTCGAGTCTCCACTCCCAGGTGCTGGTAACATCTCCCCAGTTGTGGCAACCACAAATGTCTCCAGACCTTGCCAAATATCCCCTGGGGCAAAATCATCCCCAGTGGAGAACATGGCATTATTGTCAAAACCAGAGCTGGACAGTAGTTAAAGCCATAAAATCAGATTATATTCACGACTGTTGCAAAGGAGGAAAAGAGACCAGGCTCAATTCCAAGTTTGGCATGGAAAAACAGGAATTGATAGCCACGGTCAGGGTTGGGGGTCAGTGGATGGAAAATTAGCAAGAGCAGACTTCAGGGATCAGGGAGTTTTGGCTGAACCAACCTCAGCAGATTCTTGCTGAGTCAGATCTAGGGGATGGCAGAGGATGAGAAATCTGATAAGTTGTCCAGGTGAGCAGAGTAAGGGAAGGGCGGGGAAGACTATGGCTAATCAGTTTAGCGGTACTCTTAATGCAAAGGTGAGCATGGAAGTTCAAAATCCTAGGCCTACTGAAAAGTTCAGGGGAGCCTGGGGAGACCATGGCCCAGGAGAGACTCTTGCCTCTAGGCCAAATCAGAAAGCTCAGACAAAGGTTCAAAAAAATCACAGTTCAGATCCCAGGGTGATCTGGTTTTGAAAGGAGCAGGTAAGGCCTTTAGATGCACATTCCTGCCATTCCTACATCTCCAGGCACTTAGGGAGCTCCCAGAATGTAGGAGGCCCTAAGCCACTGCTTATGAGAGGACTGCTCTTCATGATTGCTGGCTGAGCTTGACCTAAGTGCAGCAGAAAATGAGGGAGCTCGGCTGGGCGCGGTGGCTTGCGCCTGTAATCCCTGCACTTTGGGAGGCCAAGGCGGGCGGATCACAACGTTAGGAGATCGAGACCATCGTGGCTAACATGGTGAAACCCTGTCTCTACTAAAAATGCAAAAAATTAGCCGGGCATAGTGGCGGGAGCTCGTAGTCCCAGCTACTTGGGAGGCTGAGGCAGGAGAATGGCGTGAACCCAGGAGGCGGAGCTTGCAGTGAGCCGAGATTGCACCACTGCACTTCAGCCTGGGCGACTGAGTGAGACTCCATCTCACAAAAAAAAAAAAAAAAAAAAGAAAAGAAAATAAGGGAGCTCTCAAATGGGTGGTCTGATGATCCATGGGTAGGTGTGGGAGCAGGGCCAGGCCATGGAGCAGGCCCATGAGGGCTCAGCATGGTCGGACCGAGGGTGTGCCAAGCCTGCGTGGATTGAGTCTGCCCATCCTGGAGAACAGGCTGCATCCTGAGGTGCGGGGGGCAGCTGACGGACCTGCTCCCAGGCAGGGCCAGAGCGGGAAGGAGAGGAAGCCAGACACAAGAAGAACGGTGTCTGCATTTGGCCAAACACGTTCTCCCAGCAGCAAACATTTAATTTTTTCAAAAGAATATTTCTAGATGCTTCTTAGAATCCAGTGTAGAACCATAAAGAGATCTAGCCACGTGCAGTTAAAATAATGCAAGGGTAATCCCTGCACTTGGGGAGGCCGAGGCGGGCGGATCACGAGGTCAGTAGATCGAGACCATCCTGCTACACGAACCCCCTCTACAACAACCGCCGGCGGCCCTGTATCCAGCTACTCACTGACAGAATGCACGGGGGCGGGTGCGTGAGCCGGATGGTGCCACTGCACTCCGCCGGCACAGAGTGAAGACTCGGCCTCAAAAAAAAAAAAAAAAAAAATGCAAGGGGGAGAGTTGGTACTTGAAAAAGGTGGGCCTCTCACATTTCTTCCATAGGAGTAGGGTCCCGCCTCCCTGCCCTTGTGGTTTGAAAGGGAGTGCTGGTCAGCTTCCCAGCCTAGCACAGTCAGCTCGTGGGGTCCCTCCCTCCCTGCCCACCCTGGGTTCCACCTTGTGCAGCTCCTGCTGCTGCCCACAGTGTCTGGGGCCTTGGCAGGGGCCATCCCTCTGCTGTAGGAGGGAACTTCTCCAGGGCCCCTGGGTGATCCCATTCTCCACTGTCCTCTGTGCCTGGGGAGGGGTCCCAGCCTCCTTCTTTGTCACTGAAGTTTCCCTTTGGGGTTAGATCTCAGGACACAAATGGTTCTGTGCATAACTGTCTTCCAGGAATTTGTCCAGAACAAAGGGGCCATGAATGAGTGAAATGATTGTTCGGATGAAAAGCCTGCTACTTACCCCTCCATGACCCCATCTCTGCAGCGGCACCTGAGGCCTGGCTTCCCTGCCATGGGCCGTGGGCAGCACGGAGACCTGGAGTGAGGGCCTGCCCGGGAGACACGCCGGTTGGCCTCCGGGGTGTGGTTCTGCCTGCACCTGAGCTTCAGCTTCTCGCAGCCGGGCCCAGGGCTGGGACTTCAATTCCAGCCTCCCGCTCTGGACTCAGCCAAGCCCCGTGCCTGCCAGGAGCAAATGTGCCACCCTTGCTGGGGAGACCACGTCAGGCTTTGTGAAGAGTTGTCAAAGAGACTGTGTTTCTGAAAGAGTTACCTCAAGGAGGGTTTGTAAAGGTTGTAATAAGAACCGGCTGGGTCCCCATGAGTGTGTCTAACTCTCTGCATCTTGTGTCCCTGAAGGACCGAAGGCTGCGGGAGTCCCAGGCCAGAGGAGGCAAAGAGAGAGGACAAAGGCACAAGGACGCCACCCCCACAGATCCTCCTGCCCCTGGAGGAGCGTGTGACCCACTTCCGGGACATGCTGCTGGAGAGAGGGGTAAGGCGCAGCAGCTGAGGGGCTGCACTCCGGCGGCAGACCCTGGGGAACAGCAGCTGAGTGGCTGTCCCTGCCTGAGGGACGTCTCCTCCTCACTGAGTTCATGATCAGGCTGAGTGACTGTCCTGGCCTGAGAGATGATGTGTCATCCTTACTGAGTTCCTGATCAGGCTAAGTGACCATCCCAGGGCCTGAGGGATGCCTCCCTCTTACTAAGTTCCCAGTTGTGCTGAGTGAGGGGCAGGTGCTAAGTGAGTGGAGGCTGAAGGGCAGCCAATGTGGAGAGGAGGTCCTGCTTCACCTCTGAAAGGAGAAAGGTGCCTTTGTGGTTTCTCCTGTGGGCATGAGGCCTGAGAGGCCGGCAGGTGGGGTCCACAGGGAGGCCAGGTCCTGGGTGGCCTGAGGAAGCACGCACTGCGCAGATGGGGTTCCTGCGGGAGCCGGGCCAGGTTGCGGTGCCCGACCTCCCTGTGCAGCTTCCCCATGGGGTTGTCCATCCTACCTAGTGGGACTCGCTCCCCTAGGGATGAACGTGACTGTTTTTAAAATAAAATTAGGATATCTTCAGTGTAGCTGATTTCCAAATCTCACTTTGAATTGGGGGCCAGGGGGGATTTTATATTCAGATCCCCTTTCAATGACTTATCATTTCCTGCTTTGGCTCTGGGTATAACATGAGCCAGAGGCAGTATTTCAGCCCCGCTGGATTTCCTCAGAAAGTAAGGCTGAATGCAGATGGCAGTGATGGGCCCCACGTGTGAGGATATTTATAATGAACACACAAATGGCCTTTCAGACTGAAGAGCAAGTTTCCTCTGCAGCCAGCACCCACCCCCAGGCTGCTTTCTGGCCCTCCCACAGCTGGTAACTCCCAGGGTCCTGGAGAGGGGCAGGGACGGAGCTGCCTGGAAACGCAGCTCCCTGCAGAACAGAGAGGTCTGAGCAGAACCCTCATAAGGGTTAGGGCTGGGGCGCTGTCCTGGGTCTGGGTTAAACCCTGGGGGAACAGGAAACATTGAGCAGATCCTACCCCTTAGGAATTTTATGGAGGAAGGAGCTGGTCCCACCCACCCCCAGGGACACGTCTCCTCCAAAGCCCCTTGAATTTGAATGTGTGCACCTGTTTATGTATTTCATCATTCACTCAAAGGTAAAACACAGCCCTGGGCCTCAAGGAACCAGAAGGAAACTTAGGTGTGTAAGCTGGTGACTGCAGTGCGTGTGTCAGGCTGAATTAACACACGCGCCGAGAGGCACGGAGCACGATGTGGACTCACACGTGTGTGGAGCTGGCCCTGGCACGATGCACCGTCTGGGTGTTGGTTTGTTTTTCAAAAAATGTTATTTTAAAAGCTGTTTTTACTAGCCTCAAATTTTGTTTTAAAACGAGACTTTAGTCCCTCCCTCTTCCTGCCCCCCCGGCTTCCTGCCCTCCCGCCACTCTTGGCATGGGGGTCTTTGTTGTAGTTTCTCCTAACTTGGTCTCTGCAGGGTGGCGAAAAGCTCTCGCCCTGCCCCTGCCGCCAGGTGTTCCCCGTGTGCCTTCACGGACTCTTCTTTTTTTTTTTTTCTTTCAAATCTTTTATCATTATTATTATTATTATTATTATTATTATACTTTAAGTTGTAGGGTACATGTGCATAACGTGCAGGTTTGTTACATATGTATACTTGTGCCATGTTGGTGTGCTGCACCCATTAACTCGTCATTTACATCAGGTATAACTCCCAGTGCAATCCCTCCCCCCTCCCCCCTCCCCATGATAGGCCCCGGTGTGTGATGTTCCCCTTCCCAAGTCCAAGTGATCTCATCGTTCAGTTCCCACCTATGAGTGAGAACATGCGGTGTTTGGTTTTCTGTTCTTGCGATAGTTTGCTGAGAATGATGGTTTCCAGCTGCATCCATGTCCCTACAAAGGACACAAACTCATCCTTTTTGATGGCTGCATAGTATTCCATGGTGTATATGTGCCACATTTTCTTAATCCAGTCTGTCACTGATGGACATTTGGGTTGATTCCAAGTCTTTGCTATTGTGAATAGTGCCGCAATAAACATACGTGTGCATGTGTCTTTATAGCAGCATGATTCATAATCCTTTGGGTATATCCCCAGTAATGGGATGGCTGGGTCATATGGTACTTCTAGTTCTAGATCCTTGAGGAATCGCCATACTGTTTTCCATAATGGTTGTACTAGGTTACAATCCCACCAACAGTGTAAAAGTGTTCCTATTTCTCCACATCCTCTCCAGCACCTGTTAGAATGGCGATCATTAAAAAGTCAGGAAGCAACACGGACTCTTCTTTATCCTGGTGGACGGCCTGATGTCCAAGAGTCCAGCCGGTGACTGGGTGGCCCTCTCACGGGAAACCTGCTTATATCAGCACATGCCCTTGTGACTGCGTCTTTACCAAGATAGTCACCTTCTAGGAGAGCCCTGCCTGGGAGCAGGGTCAGGTTCGGGGGTGTCACTGGGCAAGAGGTAGGAGAGGCCGTTTTGTGATCCACAGGTCCAAGTGCAGGCAGTTTCCCAGTCCTTACTGTTGTGCCCCTGCGACTACATGGCCCTTGTGGAAATGGCTGTAATTCTGAGTTTCCGAATAGGCCTGGCCAGGCTGGCCTGGTTGAATTATCAGGCAGGAGACATGACTCGTCTTCCCTGAAACATGATGGCATCACGAACATTTGGGAAATAGGAATAAAACATTCCCTTTATCATGACTCGTCTTCCCTGAAACATGATGGCATCGTGAACATTTGGGAAATAGGAATAAAACATTCCCTTTGTCTTACTAACGTCCAAGTTTTCCATCTCTTTGTTTTGGAAATGAGGCAGGCCCAATTTACCAACACAGTTTTAAACAGACCTACCTGCTCAAGAGGCCGGCCTTCCCTTCCCAGGCAGGGATGCTGGCGGACTCAGTTTACGTGGCCTCTTGAATTTCTCCAAATGGCCTTGGTTGAGAGATTTTACTAATGAGATTTTCAGAGCCTTTTTACCCCAATGAGAGTGGGTGATTCATTTCAACTTTTTCTTCTCAGATTATTATACAGGAATCAGCAAAATCATCTGAATGTGAAGCAGTAACTACAGGGTGTGTGTTTACCCCGAGAGAAAGGGACTGGGGTGAAGCCTAGTCCCGTGTCTCATGAGGATCTTCAGGAGAGGCCCACACACAGCTCATGAGTAGAAAAGATCAATCCAAATTTACTGTGAATATCATAAAGCAATGCCACCATTTATGACTTTTCAGCTTTGTAAAATCAGCTGGCAGATTTGCTCATGCTCGGGAGAATTTCACAGCTAAACCCACAAGGTTTCTAGATGCCTAACAATGAGGTACAGAAAGGTCAGTTTTTCATGGACTGAGTGATTAATACGATTTTTTTATTGCATTTGTTCAATACTTCAGTTCAGAAACTCATGTACTTGTGGAGTGATGAAGGGTGGACCCTGGGGTTTTTAGTAGTTTAGAAAGGGCAGAGTTTGGGCCCTGCCATGGGGATTGTGCCCTGGGGCAGCGGGATGAAGGTTTTGTGGTTTTGTGGCATGTAAATGATGGTTCAGCAGAAGGTTTGTTTTTTGTTTTGTTTTATTTTTGTTTTCTTCTTGCTAGTACAAATCCCAAAGAAGCTTTCTTTTAAAACTTCAGTCCATCAGGAGCAAGTTTAATTGAATAGCAGGTTATTAATTTAATCCTGCTGTTTAGGTGAATACATTAGAGACATTTTATTGAGAATACTTTCCTTCTGCAAAGTACCTCTCACAAGTCGGTGATGCTCACCCAGGGGCCAGGAGAGAAAGTCCCTCTGAGAATACTCGATTTTGATTTAGGGACTTAGGGGCCGTCCTTGGTCCTTTTCAGGGATCCCTCTGCGGGTGACCCTGGGCCAGAGCAATGACCAGCCTCGGGGACCCTGGCTGGCAGTGTGGTGGGCTACACAGGAGAGCCCTGGGACCACGTCTGCATTGGGGTGAGGAATTCACAGAGCAGGGTTCCTGCAGGCTTCGCTATGATGGTTTCTCCCTACACTAAGATGGGTGTTGACAGCGAGGCTGTGGGGTGAGTGGGTACAAACCAGACAGAGGCCCCTACAGTCCTAGGCAGCAGGCGCCCCCTCCCAGGCAGCAGGAAGGGCAGCGTTGGCCTGTCCGTCTCCCCGGATGAGTAACATCTGGTGCCTTTATAGGCAGCTCTGCCTCCCAGGAGCTTCACCAGGCCCTCGGCTGGGACGTGCATGCGCAGAAAGGCCTAGGCTGTTACCAGGGAAGGGGAGGTGCCTGTGGGGACAGCACCCTTGAAGGTGCCTTTGCGAGTTGGGATTGCCGGCTCTAATTTCTGGAATGGGATTTTTATTACGCTTGTGTGAAGGTAACCCTCAAAAGTAAGTGAAATCAGCTGGCTATATTGTGGAATAACCATGTAAAATTGCATTTGTTCAGCAAAAGAGAAAACAAAAAGTTAGTAAACTACTCCGAGCCCTGAAGGTGGGGGTAGGCGTTGATGTGCCTCGAGGCAGGGTAACACAGGGATGCAGACGGAGGCCTCGCCTGCGGGCCCAGGTTCCCTTCCACGCTCACTCACAGTTGCCTGGGTCCACCTGGGGCCACCTGGGCTCACAGGAACTCTGTCTGTGCTGGCCACTTCCACTGTTAAACGTTATAGGGTGGATTTAACCGCCCCCAAGGGGACAGAACCTTCAAAACCAGGGGCCCGGGACCGGAGGGTCAGTAGGTGAAAACCTGCTTCCCAGTCCTCAGTGAGGATACCTCTTGGGCAGGTTTGGGCACCTTCCTCGCCCCATGGCCCACCCTCCATCGCTGGCTCCTCTCCTTCCGCGTGTCCGTTCCCAGGACGGCCTGGAATCACCTTCCAAACAAACGCCTGCACCCTGGCCCTGGCCATGCGGCTTCTTTAGGGGCCTGAGCGTAAGGCAATGGCCTCATCTTCAAGGATGAGGTGGGAGCCCGGTCATTCTGCCCTGGGCTGCCGCAC